TCAGCGTCACTATGATCAGAAGAAGAAGCCATAGAGAGAGAAGTTCTTGTGGAAAGCTCTTTCTGGCGGATTTCTCTTGAAGCAGTAAGGATTCTGCTGGAGAGAGATGAGTATGGATATATATTATAAAAAGCCCAACGGCTGAGATTCGGCACCCCGAGCGATCAAACGGTCAGAACGCCCTGCGACGCTCCGAACTCAGCGCCTTTAAGGCTACTCTCGAAACCCCAAACCGACAGATCGGATTGGGGCACGAGAGGCGAAGCGACCGGTCGCTTCACCATAAATGGGCATTAATGCGCCTGCAGAGTCTTGGCTGGCAAGCACTTGGGCCCGCCGACCGACACGTGGCACAAGTTTCGCCCGCAGTCGGATCCCCGACTATTGGATCAACTCGCTAGCTGTTCGAGTTTTCGCCTACAATTCAAACTCGCCAGGCGAATCGGGTCGGGTTTTCAACACAAGCCCACCATCATACGGGTCTCGCACACAGCATAAACTCGCCAGCCGTTGGGTTGCGTTTCCAAGCGAAACTCGCCGGAAGGTCGCTGCAACAAGAAATAGAAAGTCAATTGAGACAAAATCCGCTGTAGAGGTGAAATCGCCCATCGAACATAGGAAGGCGAAATCGCCTATCGAAAGGGGGAACCCACTTCGAACGAGGTCTGTCCCTACGGACTACACTCCCCTCTAATGGGAAGGGCCGAACTCGCCTTACGAAAAAGGGGTTCGTCTCCTCCCCACTGGAGAATTCGCCCGCGGGGACAGTACTCATCCTCTAAAGGCAAAATAGGGCAAACTTTGCCCCAAATCGGGGAAATAAGCAACACTCATCTCCCTAAATCCGACGCCTAAGGCCTGCAAGGGATCGCCCAACGAATCCATCAACGTACCTGGGCACGACTCCAGAGCACCAGCAGGCATGCCGGCAGAGAGACGGTCGGAGTAACGTCCGGGGCCTGCACCCCTCACTTTACACCTCTTGGATTTCGGAGCCATTGCGAGAGGAAGCGGGAATTCTTTCCTTGGATGTTCCCTTTCAAGATTTGAAAGCACGGTAACTCCCAATGGAGGAAAACGGCTGATTTAGAAGGGCGGAGTTGTCCACGTGGCCACGACTGCCCTCGAAAGGCGAAAACCCTAACGGACAGGAAACGGGGCCACGATCAAATTCGACGGCCCAGATCACCCTCAGTGCATCGAAGGGACCGAGATTAGCGTTTGAATCCGACGGTTGAGTCCGAGAACCACGGCCACGATACGTCGCAGGGCGAAACGCATGAAGATCGTGCTGTCAAGTCACGATCGCCACGATCCAATGTCTTAGCTGGGAAGCACGAGGCTCTATCAGCAGACACGTGGCTCATCTCCCGTCAGATCCGGTTCCGCCTACAAAAGGAAGGGTTTCGCCTGCAAATACTGGGCATAACCCCACGAGTCGCGCGAAAATTGGCTCTCAAAAACTAATTTCGCCTTGGCGATGCATTCGCCCTCAAAGGTAAAATTACGAACAAAGCCAAAAGAATGACCTTGCTTAAACGGTTGAAACCCACGCCCCAGATGGCTAAGGGTTAGAGCAGAAATCTTAGCATTAAGCCTAAGAGAAACTGTTCGACAACTCATCATACTGAGGAGAATAGTATGGCTAGCCCGATTCAAACGGTAATCGGTAAAGGCACATCAAACCCGTTGATAGCTGAGGATTTGCTAAAAATCCTAAGAGAAATCGAAGGCACTTGCTTCGCCAACAATTTCTTCATTCAAAGTATTCCAGACCACACGCAAGCCAGTTTAGGTCTGAAAACTTTGAAGGGGGTCTTGTAGACGGTAAAAAATACCTCTATGGGTCTACAGGAAATTTGTCTACGAGAAGAGTTCGCACGCCCAGTTCTCTGGCACGGACCTAAACCGCGTAGACGTCGACTGTACTCAAGTCCAGGTTCGCCTAACGGTCGACTCGCCAGCATGAGTCAGGGTCGATCAGGATGGCGGAAATTCGCTCTTCGCTCAACTCGCCTGCCCGAGTTCGGAGTCGAATCCGCCAGCAAGCCCCAAAACCGTCAGTACAGCTGGGTATCCACTACCCCACGTGCTGAGATGGACCTTCCCATCTCTCTCGACCCGAAGGGAGAGAGAGCACAGTACCCCAGGACCGTCAAACGGCCGCTCGCAGTGCGCACAGCGCGAAGGGACTGGACAGGTGTCGAGTCAACCTGAGCATTCATAAATGCGACTCACCTCGGATGTCTGAGCCAAGAGCTGGATCCGCCGGCACTCGGCAAGCTGGCTAGACCCACTCGAGTACTGTGTACCTACTTCACCGCCTCTCCTGGCCGGAAAGGAGAAAGCATCGTGCTCAAAGCACGCCGGGCGGTCACGCACAGTACAAGTGATCGGACAGACACTTCATCGATCTGCGAACTCATAAATGCGGGTCATTAATGCTGGTCAAATCCACCCGGATAGCAGTCGTTTGTTGCCTCACATACAAGAATGGGCCTTCCCATCGTAGGTGACAGGACATAGAGCACAATCCCTGGAATGACCGTTCATGGTATCGAGGAACGGCGAGACGTCTCTGAAGAGGATGTGGTCACATCCCACAATTCAAGGAGAAGTCAAGCTGTCCTTCTTTCATTTAAAAACCCCTTCCAGCACGATGGAAGAGAGGTCGCAAAACTTGGAGAAAAAAGAGTTGAGACCAAGCTGTTAGCAAATCCTTGCATTACAGCACTGCTGCCTAGTTCCGGGCTCCGATCGCCGACGAACCAAGCAGACCCGAACTCCATTGCCCCGAGCTTCTACTGCGAACTGAAGCTCTCCAGCAACCTCATTCAAACGGTCCAAGGGAAGCAGACTCGACCCAAGCATCGAGCGAAGCGTCCTATAGCCACCTAAAGTCCCCACACAAAACAAAGAGGGCCTTCCCTCTGCTTCTGTTGTAAACATTTGATTTGTTAGTTTGTAATAAGCTTTCTTATAAATACAAACGAAACTCCTTTCTTCGGAAGAATCAAATTTTCACCCTACAATCGCATTCTACAGCTGAAACCTTCGAGGTATCATCATAAAAATCAGTACAAGTTTATTTGGAACACAAAACATGCACGTGTCGTGCATGGGATATATTGCGAATACCATGTAAACATGCGTGTGCTGCTATTAACTTCATGCATAGAGATGTGTACCAGTTCTGCGATTGGTTCATGACGACTGAAGCTTTCAGGAGAAGTTACGAACCAATCCTCTTTCCTGTTCCAAATTACGATAAGCCAGATGTCACAGATGAAACAATTAGCATTCTTCCCCCAAAGACGACAAAGAGACGTGGAAGGAACAAGAATAGGCGTATCAACAACAGATCTGAGAGTAGACGTGCAATTAGATGCTCAAGATGTCGCGTTGAAGGACATAACCGAGCCACGTGCACTGAACCTATCGAAGATTAACGTTTCCAGGCAGAATGCAAACGCTTTTGTGACTATTGTCTGTTACATGTGACTTTTGCCATTTTGTTGTGACATTTGTTTCTTGTATGTGACAAATTACCGCTTCGTGTTACTGTTGCCACAAAAAATGTGACGTATTACCTGTTTGCATATCACATGTGACTATTGTAACATACAAGAACATACAAAAAGTCAATCATACCTACCAAAACGTCACATACAAGTCTAATAAGTCACACAGCATACTAAAACGTCACATAACCGCCTCAAATGTCACACAAAATAAAAAAGTGTCACATACAACACAGAGCATACTAAAACGTCACATAACGGCCTCAAATGTCACACAAAATAACAAAAGGTCACATACAAGACTCAAAAGTCAAACAGAACACTAAAACATCACACACAAGACTCAAAAGTCACAGAACATACAAAAACGTCACATGATGGCCCCAAATGTCACACAAAATAACAAAGTGTCACATACAAGACTCAAAAGTCACACAGAACACTAAAACGTCACATGTGACTATTAGCTGTTACATGTGAGAATTTACAAACAGCTAGTAACTGATAAGGAGAATATTTACAGACCTGTACAAATGTAACATACCACAACATACAAAAAGTCAATCATACCTACCAAAATGTCACATACAAGAAGCAAAAAGCATACAGTACACTAAAACGTCACACACAAGACTCAAAAGTCACAGCGAATACTAAAATGTCACATAATGGCCTCAAATGTCACACAAAATAACAAAATGTCACATACAAGCTAGTAAAGTCACACAGAACACTAAAACGTCACACATACAAGACTCAAAAGTCACACGGCATACTAAAACATCGCGTAACAGCCCCAAAAGTCGTCAACAGCAATCCAACAAATGTCACACACAGCTAGTAAACTGGTTAGCTTGTACATCACCACGTTTAAACAAATGACACAGTTAATGTAGAGTCTAATACTTCCACTCAATCATAGGTACATCACTACCCCCAAAGTACAAAAAATATTCTGGATCATCACTGTCTAATTTCAGCCGCAGTTTTTTCCCTTCACGCCCTTCACATATGAGTTGAGCAGCAAGTCCTGCTCGTAGCATATGTGACTCCATGCGCAAGGCCTCAACTTGCATTATCTCCCTTTCCTCGAGGATCGACATGATAAAATAATATGCATGTATGTCACAATCATACCTGTAGAAATATAACATAACACTTAATACTAGAAATATAATATAACATAACAAGAATATAAAACAGAGAATGTAAAACTATCACATAACAGACCCAAAAGTCACACAGAATACTTAAATGTCACATATGGGCCCCAAAAGTCACACAGAATAACCAAAAGTCACATAACAGCCCCAAAATGTCACATAGCAGCCCCAAAAGTCACACAGAATACTGAAATGTCACATATGGGCCCAAAAAGTCACACAGAATAACCAAAACTCACATAACAGCCCCAAAATGTCACATAGCAGCCCCAAGAGTCACATACAAGACTCAAAAGTCACATATGGGCCCCAATAGTCACACAGAATAACCAAAAGTCACATAATAGCCCCAAAATGTCACATATGGATGTGAAAATATCACCCATTCAAGTATCACATGCATTAATAACTGTTTAAGTGTAAGAAACTTACGATCCTTTTTGCGTAGGACAGGGAACCGCTTCATAATCAAATGCTCTAAATGTCGAACTCTGGTCAAATCCACTCACCATCCTATCTAAAAATAGTTGGATGGCCAACACGTCCCTAGCCCATGCCTCGTGGCCAGCGAAGCTGTAATGCCTGCATTTTTTTGCCCCAGATTGACCTCAAGGACATGCCAATGATCAGCATGACATATCGGGATTATCAACACATCCTTCCCTTCGTCGATATGCTTCTTTATATAGTTTTTATGGATCTTTCGCTCATCCAACTTTGAAGCAGTTAGCAACCAAATCTACCGGAAAAAGAAAAGAGATAAAGCGGGAGAAAGTTAAATAACATATAACTGCAAAAAATGATCCACATTACTCACACTAAAATAGGATGTGACAATAGCAAATTTGCGATCCCGAGCGGCATTTTCGGGGAGCTTGAGCCAGTTCCGAAGTCTTGCAACAAGGGCTTCAACCGTCTAATAATTGCAAACATAATAAATCATGTAAATATCAAAAACTTGACTAACAACGAAACTTAAACAAAAACTAACCTCATCCTTCAATCTTCCACCGCGTAGAAGATGAAGAATATCGTATCTGTTCATAGTTTGGTGCTCAACCTCTAAAACAATCCTCCTACAAAAATATATCACATACAAGAATGTATAAGCGACATATCCAACCGATTAATAAACTGTCACAGTAGAACACTAAATGTCACATAAAAACTGTAATGATCACAATTTACGTGCTTATGTCACAAACGACATGTAACTATCACAGACCACTTATATATATCACAGAATAATATTTAATACTTACTTGTCAACTTGTAACGTTAGAAAATGTTGAAGCCACTTGTTTTCATCTTCCGACGCATCAGGTACATCACGAACAGTGAAGTTATGATAAAATCCTTCGTCAACTGTTCCCGGTAGCCTGATGTCAAAGTCTTGGGCAGAAGGAATGCCCATATTCAACATTGACAATAAATTTTTTTCATCTTCAGTTTTTTCCCTTCTCCATAGCTGAGGCACAGATGTTCTCATAGGTGGGTGTGCCATTTCACGTGGCTTCTTCTCCTCTATTGTCTCCCCCTTGTCATCATCATCTTTCACCAAAATGACACTTTTTTCCCTTTCATCTTTTTCTTAGGCATTTCTGTGCAATATGGAGATTCTAGGGACTTGGGCTTCTTCGTTGTTCTTCGGCTCCTTGCACGGAGCCCCTGAACAAATTCTCCCAAAGTAGACTCACCTTCCTCCCTCCTCTTCCTTCCCCTCTTCTTCTTAGGAACTTCCTCAACAACTTTCCGCGCTTCAGACTATATAAAGATCACAGTTAATGAATATATATAATAGTAACATGACATGAATATATATCACATGAGGAAATCATGCATCACAAATAATAAATGAATATATATAATAGTAACATGACATGAATATATATCACATGAGGAAATCATGCATCACAAATAATAAACAAAAGTCACAGATAAACTGTTTACGTCACAAATAACAAGGAGCTATCACAAACAGTGTGTACATGTCACAGACAACCAAATCTATCATAGGAGAGTTACCTGCTCAAGTTCAATGCCCACTTCTTGGCCTTGATCACCTTCTCCCTCTGCTTTCTCTTCCTTCCCTTCTTCTTTCTCCGCCTCATCTTGTCTCTCTATTTGAGGCTGCATAAATGTTAAGAATGTAACTAATTTTGTTCAGCAAACTTTTCTCAACATATTTTTTCCTCGTTTGAAATAGGAAATAAATTATAACCTCTTCTTTTTTGGGCATGATTTGTTTCTCTTCCTCAAATCTTTTCTCAATTTCGGCCTTAATGGCCATCGTATCAACGCCACGAGCAACAAGTTCTTGCTCATAGGCTTCATTTAGCATCACCAACTTTTTATAAGCGTCATCCTACATTAACAATAAACTGATAGTGAGTAAATGTCACAAATACAAAGATCGCACATAAAGTCATCAACTTTACCCCTTTTTCCACTCTTTTCTTCCTCAAAGCTTTTTCACCCGTAGCTTCCTCCTCCATTTCAGCCTTCCTCTTTGTAGACTTCTGCTTGATCTCCTCATGTACATACCGCGGCAGGTCATGCTCGGGTAAGATGTTGATTGCGGCTTCGGATTTCTTCGTTATTGTTGTTGTCCGCAGTGAACCCACCTTCTTACCCTCCAATGTCCAATTGGTCATTGGTGACTTCGATTCATCTACTTTCGCCGACTCCTTAATGTTTGATATCTCATAATACCATAGCTACAAAAAAGCCACATTCAAACAATGAAGTATCACATATTAGATATAAATGTCACATGTAAATGGCAATAATCACATACCAGCAGATAATATCACACATTAACTACAAACATCACATATCAGGGCAAATATCACACATGGGTCACAGTGAACACATATAACTAGAAAATATCACATGTAGAAGACACTTATCACATAAACACATATTAACTATAAATATCACATGTCATATTTATTAGTGTTATATATCACATGTAAATGGAAATAATCACGTGTAACAAGATAATATCAGATACAAACTACAAATAAACAGTGGACTTAAACAATACCAATTAGATACAAATGTCACATATAAATCTCAAATATCACATATAAAGGGTAATGATCACAGATAAGGTGCAAATGTCACATATAAATCTCAAATATCACATATAAAGGGTAATGATCACAGATAAGGTGCAAATGTAACATATAAATCTCAAATATCACATATAAAGGGTCATGATCACAGATAAGGTGCAAATGTAACATATAAATCTCAAATATCACAGTTAACTCACTGATAGCAAGGGAGCGCAGCCGCTAAGATATATCAGCCCCTTCGTCGCTTTCTTCACAGCCTTGAAGGAGTCCCACAATTCCTTATAGATGATTGTCGCCCATGGGAAATGATCAACCGCATCTACTCGAGCCACATATTTGAACATATGCCGCGGTGCATTCATTCTCGCGGTCGGGGTCCATATCATTGTCAATTGATAGAGGATTTGAAGCATAACAAAATCCGAAACATCGGATTTCTTTTTGGACCGAACCAATTTCTCCAATAGGGCCTCAAGGTAGCCTCGGCCACTCTTGTATTGTGATTGTTGCTTGTTGCTAAAGTATGTGGTCCATATCCTATTATCCATGTCGCGATTGCCTTCGGGTTTCTCCCCTTCATCATTAAACCGAGTATGTTTGCGCACCCAATTTAGATCAAACGTGTACGCTTGTTTAGTCCCGGTTTGGCTATCATTGAAGAAAAACTTCCCCGTGGCTAAATCCACATTATCCAGCAGCAGCATGATGGTGGCCTTGTCGGATGGAATCATACCAAAACTAACATAGTTCTTGAAATTGGAGGATCCATAAGCCCTCCAATGTTCAGACCTCATTTGTGGGACAATGCCATCCATAAATTGACAATATCCACGGATATTGCAACAAATTCTTATATCATGTTTACTGTAAAAGACAACACAACAGATACTAAATCAACTGTCTGAGATGATGAATTGACAATGCCAAAACTAACTTAGGGTTCTAATGCGTATAAATTCACAATGCCAAACAAATTAAATGAACAGATGTGAACAATTGGGTAGATACTTACATCTCAGGCTTTATTGTAGCTGATTCAGATGATGAATTCGACATCTGTATTTTTAGCAGCGTCACTGTGGGGTTCGGTGAGGATGAGAGATTCTGGCGGAGTCGAGGATGACGATCTAAAGGGTTCGCCAAAGAAGAAGGCGACGAGCACGAAGTCGAAGAAGTCGAGGATGCAGCGGTCTTCGATTGTGACGACGAAGACGAACACGAAGTCGACGAACGAGACGGCTGAAGCGTTGTCGTCGGCGGCGGAGGAAGAGGGTTCCGGAAGGGGGAGAGTTTCAAACTCTTTGACGGAGGTTTGGGGGTTTCGGTAACAGTGCTGCTCAGAAAATGACGGTGGGGATGTGACTTTTTCAGTTTTAAATTGCCAAGGGTAATTTGGGGATTTTTTTGGGTTATGGGTCTGAATACTATTTGGGGGCTTTGTTGCATTTTTTTTCTGTATAAGGGTTTTCCAGTAATGATTCTTGGGCTGGGGTGGGGATGCATAGCCGAATTTTATTTGGTTCCCCCAAGCAATTTTCTCTTTTCAAAAACATCTTTTATTGCCTTTTTTTCATTTGACTGTATTGGGATAAGAGAAAGTATAGTAAATATAGAAAATTTTGGTCCAGCTCAGTTGTAACTTGTATGGTCCCTTAATTTGTGTCCAAAAGCAAT